CCATAACCGCTCCCTCCGCCCGCCCTGCCCTGTTGATCCCGCCCCGCCCAAGCCCTGCGCAGAGCCATTTGCCGGATCGCCTCAGGCAAAGGCTAGATTAGTGCCTCTCCAGAGGACAGAAGTTTTCCCACTGCAGACACAGCTGATTCTCACAGCCAGTCGGCCTGGTGGTCAAATCCCTCTAGTATTAACTACTACAATCAAGGCTTAACTACAACAAGACTGCGCACAAAGACCACAAGGGGGTGCACCAAGAAAGCATAAAAAATGCGGAGACAAAGAAACATGACAGAAATGCAGGATATAGAGCTAAAATATGCAATTTTAAGGTCTTTCAATAATTTTCTAGAAACTGCCGATAAACTTGATAAGATCCTCAAGAAATCTAATGAGACCCTCGATGTTGTGATAAAGAACCAACTAGAAATTAAGCATACACTGGCTGAAATAAAGAATATTATACAGACACCCAACAGCAGACCAGAGGAGCGCAAGAATCAAGTCAAAGATTTGAAATGCAAAGAAGCAAAAAACACCCAACCGGAAAAGCAAAATGAAAAAAGAATCCGAAAATACGAAGATAGTGTAAGGAGCCTCTGGGACAGTTTCAAACGTACCAACATCAGAATTATAGGGGTACCAGAATATGAGAGAGAGCAAGATATTGAAAACCTATTTGAAGAAATAATGACAGAAAACTTCCCCTACCTGGTAAAAGAAATGGACTTACAGGTCCAAGAAGCGCAGAGAACCCCAAACAAAAGGAATCCAAAGAGGACCACACCAAGACACATCATAATTAAAATGCCAAGAGCAAAAGACAAAGAGAGAATCTTAAAAGCAGCAAGAGAAAGAGACTCAATTACCTACAAGGGAATACCCATACGACTGTCAGCTGATTTCTCAACAGAAACTATGCAGGCCAGAAGGGAGTGGCAAGAAATATTCAAAGTGATGAATACCAAGAACCTACAACCAAGATTACTTTATCCAGCAAAGCTATCATTCAGAATTGAAGGTCAGATAAAGAGCTTCACAGATAAGGAAAAGCTAAAGGAGTTCATCACCACCAAACCAGTATTAAATGAAATGCTGAAAGGTATCCTTTAAGAAGAGGAAGAAGAAGAAAAAGGTAAAGATACAAATGATGAACAACAAACATGCATCTATCAACAAGTGAATCTAAGAATCAAGTGAATAAATAATCTGATGTGCAGAATGAACTGGTGATTATAATAGAATCAGGGACATAGAAAGAGAATGGACTGACTATTCTTGGGGGGGAAAGGGGAGTGGGAGATGTGGGAAGAGACTGGACAAAAATCGTGCACCTATGGATGAGGACAGTGGGTGGGGAGTGAGGGCGGAGGGTGGGCGGGAACTGGGAGGAGGGGAGTTATGGGGGGGGAAAAAGAGGAACAAATGTAATAATCTGAACAATAAAGATTTAATTTAAAAGAAATAAAAATAAAAATAAATAAAAATTACCACTTCAAAATAGATTTTTATTTTCCTAAATATGTATTTTTAAATATATGTAATTACTAAAGGTGCCTTAAGTGACCATTTGTCACTTAAGGATATCCCTGCCTCCCTATTCATTTATTATTTTAACCTAATTTAAAAAATCGATAATATAGTTACATGGTTCAAACTTTTAAAAATTACAAAAAGTATAGATTGAAGTTTGTTTCCCATCCCATAAAAATGACTGTTTTAAATCAGTGGGTGATGATTTAGGGAGTTTACATCTCTAACACCCAATGGAAATAACTCAAATGGGTCTCCTTTAACCCACTAGCGCTATAAATGCTGTGGCCACAAATCTTCAAACACTGTTGTCCTTTAATGGGTCTACAGATATGGCAAAAGCTCAGAGGCAGTTTTATTATAACAGGAAAACAAAACAAACCTAGTAACACGCAGACTGTACATTACTCCAGCAAAACTGGCCTGTTCATATAGTGTGACCACTTCACTGTTTGGCCACACTATATGGACAAGCCAGTTTTGCAGGAGTAATGTACAGTCTGCGTGTTACTAGTTGTCTATGCTAGTGCAATAATGACCTCTTTAGATTTGGTCCTCCTCAGTCAGTAAACACACAGACAGATCCCAGGTCTCATTTCTTAGTCTAAAAAACAAAGTTTGGGGTGTATGTTTGTAGAAACTTTGACATTTCTCTATTTTGGGGGTATAACTTTACTGCCTTTTTCTTTTACTTTTCTAAAAAGCTTTTCTGGAAAATAAATCCAAGGAATAGATTAGCACTGCCTTGTATGTTTTTTTCAAACAAAAGTTTTGAGGTTTGTAGGTACTGTTTATTTCTTCTTCCCCTCAGAGTTCAAACCAACTGAGAACTGACCCAAAGAGCCAGTGGAGGTGAAGGACTCGAATCTTTCTAAAACTCATCATTTCATTGTTGGGCTATCACTTATTCCCCCCCTAACTTATCCCATTGGCTTTTATGTTGTTTCTAAATGGGCCTCCACACGTTCTTATCTGTTCATCCCTTAGCTCACAAATGATGAAGAAATCCATAATGTTGGCACCTCCTTGACCTTTGGATTTGGCACATTGACGTGCTGGATCCAGGCTGCACTGACACTCAAAGTCAACATCAAGAATGAAGGACGCAAAGTTGGAATCCCACGAGTTATTCTCTCAGCATTGATCACTCTCTGTGTGGTCCTCTGTATCCTTTGAATGTGAAAAGGCTCTTTGCCACTGAGATTAAAATACAGATAACTGAGAAAATTGCCATTCCAGGTTGGTTAGGATATAGATAGATCATTTCAGAATCTTACGGTAGATAAAACAGAAAAGAAAACGGGTATAAAAATAAAAACTCTCACACCCAGAGGAGAACTGAAAATAAAAATAAGCTCTGCCTTCTCGAGATTGTGTCACTCTGTGGACATGGGGTCATGCACTCTCCTAATTACTAATGACGTAAAAGTTTCCCTTTGGGAGAAATACAGAATGATCAACCAAAAGAGAATTGTGATTTTTCCCCCTCCATCTTGAAAAAATTTCATTTAACTTTATTAATGGCCCTACAATTTAATTTATTCACTCTAACATGAATTTCAAGGGACAAATACATTTATATCTTTCAGGGAAATAAGCTTTTTTAGGAAACAAATTCAAGAATTAGATTACCACTGCAGGTATAGTTGTCCTAAAACATATTTTTGAGGTTTTGACATGCTGTTTATTTCCCTTCCTCCCTCAGAGATTAAACCAATGGTGAACAGACACAAGGATCCAAATGGGGAGAAATCAGCCTTTATTCCTGGTAAATTTGGAAAGGAAAATGCCGCAGGCCTTCATCTCACACCCTGGCATTCAATTTATCCACCCAGTAACAAGTAGAGAAACCAGGGAAAGGAAGAGAAGGGCGCTTCACTCAGTTTAACCCCAAACAGATCAGAGAGAAAAGAGAGGGTTGAGGGAGAGAGAGAGACTAGTCTAGGATGGAGCACAGTGACTTCACCTACTGGTGGCATAGCCCAATGGGCCAGCCAATTTCAATCCCACCAATCAGATTGCTTACTCATTCCATGGGGTGGAGTGATCATAAATGTTCACTCCCATAGGAAACCAAAGAAGGGAACAAGGTTCCTAGATGGTAGACTGTATGGGTAACACAATTACACATCTTCAGTCATACAGCAGCCAATATTTACTGGGCACTAATAATGTGCCCGGGGTTATCCTAAATACTTTAGATCAAGCATGTCAAACTCAAAGGCTAACACGGGCCAACTAAACAAGGTTTAAGTTTATGTAGGCTGCAAAAAAACAAAAGCTTCAATTTTCATAGAAACGTAGGTTTATTTTGATAGAGACATGCTGAATACAAAGGGCTGAAATAAATGAGTAATCGTCAACATAAAATAATAGAACATTTTAATAAAAATTAATATTTTTCTTGAACATTAACTTACCAGACACTGAATAAACTGCACAAATTAATAAGCGTAATGCAAATAAACTTATTTTTCTTCGTCTCTGAAAGCAAAATATTTTCTGTTGCGCACACCAAACAAGTCAGTACAAGACTAATGACATGGCGATTGGCTGCAAAAATATTCGCTGCTAGTATTAGTGGGGAGAAATGGTGCGCCTGCGCATAAGGGAAATGAATGCTACACGATTATAGTAATCAGTCATTTGTGAATGTTGTAGTTCATTATTAATAACTAGAGGCCCGGGGCATGAAATTCGTGCACTGGAGGGGGGTCCCTCAGGCCAACCTGCCCCTCTCACAGTCCAGGAGCCCTCAGGGGATGTCAGCTTAGGCCCACTCCTCTGCGGAAGGCAACCAGCTGATCAAGGGAAGGCACCAGTCCCATCACCCCACTGCTGCTGCCACTGCCAGCCGCCGCAGCCACCAAGGTGTTTTCATCAACATGGACTCCAGTTCCTTCACCACGAAAAAAATGACAACTCTCTAGGCATTTTCAAGATATCTCTTTCATAGGATATGACATTTCTTTCTTTTTTTTTTATCCTCATCTGAGGATATTTTTCCATTGATTTTTAGGGAGCATGGAAGAGAGAGGGAAAGACAGAGAGAAACATCAATGTGAGAGGGACACTTCGATTGGTTGCCTCCTGCGTGAGCCCCGGCCAGGGAGGAGCCTGCAATGTAGGTCATGCCCTTGATCAGAATCGAACCCGGACCCTGCGGTCCGTAGGCTGAGGCTCTATCCACTGAGCCAAACCGGCAAGGGCAGAATATGACATTTCTTAGCCCCTCCAGCAGTGGACCTTCGTTTTTTCCTCCAGGAGTGAGGTGGAAAAACCCTACATCACCTTCTTGGATTCTATTACCCAAGTTACCAAGAACACTACGAGTGGCGTACCGGGAGCTTAGCCAATGAGTGGTCAGAAAAGGTGTTTCCTCTGCAGCTCACATGCAGAGGTGGGACTGCCAGTGTGCTGCGGCTGGAGCAGTCACCCCTGTCTGTGTCCACTCCGGGACTGCTCCAGCTGCCTCGGCTGCTGGGGCAGCCCCAGGCCCCCTGTCAGTGTCTGCTCCGGGGCTGCCTGACCTGTTGCGGTGCGGCAGCTCAGGCAGGCCCCCGTCTCTGCATGCGCAGCCTCCTCCTGACCAATCGTGACTGTTAGTGTCTGGCTAATTTGCATATTACCTCTTTTTTTTTCTAAATATATTTTATTGATTTTTTACAGACAGGCGGGGAGAGGGATAGAGAGTTAGAAACATTGATGAGAGAGAAACATCGATCAGCTGCCTCTTGCACGCCCCCTACTGGGGATGTGCCCACAACCAAGGTACATGCCCTTGACCGGAATCGAACCTGGGACCCTTGAGTCCGCAGGCCGATGCCCTATCCACTGAGCCAAACCGGTTAGGGCACCTCTTTTTATATATATAATGTATAACAGAATATTGTAAAAATTAAGTTATGAAATTTTTATTAAAACGTTTCTTACATACCGTTATATTGATTGGCCCGCAAAAATATTAGTTGTGGGCCACATGAGGCTCATGGGCCTCGAGTTTGACATGCTTGCTTTAGATGTGTCAACTTCCTTAATCTTCACAGGTAAGAGTAGTGAAGCACTGAGGTCAATTTACCCAAGATCACACAGTATGCGGTGATCTTGATTTAAAGTCAGTCTCAGTTCAATACATGATCTCACCTTAGAGAATGTGGCTTTAAAATATAAAAAGATTTCGTGTTTAGTGATGTTCTTTAGGTAGTGGAGTATTTGAAGTCTTTTATTTCTTCTTCCTTCACAAATTGCCGTTAAGTCATTTATTGTTTGGTTGGTTTTTCTTTTGAAGTTCTGCTGTTGCATTAGAGAACATTTAAGGATTTGAAAATCAAGCCAAAAAACTTTGTTAGCAACCTAATAAAATATTTTGAGTGAAAAGGTCAGAACTCTGCCAGTATGAGATTTGAAGATTCATTCCTTCCCCATTAACCTAAGTAATACTATTGCTTTGGCAATATTTTGAACCCTTAATCAGAAGAGTATGTACAGACTTTAAATTATTCAGAGTGTGTGAGCTTATACCAAGTGATTCTGATCCATGTTATTTCTGAACACTTGGAGCCACTTCTTGGTTCCCAGATGAATAGATCCAGGTCTAATCTGGAGAGCAAAGTTTGGCTGAAAATTTCCCAAGATCTTAAGTCTAAGTTCTTATGATAGAACTAATTCTAAGGGGGGTATTTCTGCCTTTTCTAAATACAGTTATTTAGTCCTTGATCTCTTGTTCTTTCACTAAGTCTTTCTCAACACACATACTCCATGTATATTCAGGCACAGGAATCTTATCTGGTTTTTTTTAAACTAAATATTTTCATTTAGGTACAATTTTTAAATATGACACCATGAATGAATGAAACTAACCTATACAGTACTGTCTGAAATACGATAGTGAAAACTAGACAGAAAAGGAAGAGGGACCACTTAGACATTATTAGTAGCACTGCAGAGAAAAATGCAGCTTGTATGGAGGTTCAAAATTGTTTCTGCAGATAGAATGATGACTATGCATCCAGTCATTTGCAGTGATTTTTAAAAAGATAACTTTATTTTTCTGGCCATCTACTTACTTTGGTATGGTGACTCTTGCTAATCTCACAGCTTATTAGGCAGCCGTGGAGTACAGTGGTTGAATGCAAGGCCTGGGAGTCGGAGTGCTTGTGTTTGAATCCTGGGTCCACCAGTTACAACCTGTGTGACCTTGGGCAAATTACCCATTTGGCTTCAGTTTCCCTATGTCTTATTTATTTTTAGTTTCCCTATTTTTAAAAAAAAAATGTTTTTATTGATCTTAGAGAGCGAGGGAGAGGGAAAGAAACATCGATGTGAGAGAGAAACATCAAATGGCTGCCTCCCCTACGCACCTAGGCATGTGCTCTGATAGGGAATTGAACCGGCAACCGTCCGGTGCACAGAAGGACGCTCAACCACCTGAGGCACACCAATGAACTAATGATGTTAATAGGGTTGTTAGGAGGATTATAAGTTAGATTTTCCATGAAAGCACCTAGAAGCATGTCTGGCACAAAGAAAGAGCTTGATAATGTGATCAAGTGTTGTTCCTGTATGTTCGCGTTCAGCAAGCTCTGTCAAGCTAACTCTTGCTAGTGAGGGGCAGAGCCAAGCTTTTCCTGTAACCTGTCTCTGCCCAGAAAAGAGCCGTTTTCAAGTGGCTGTTAGAAGTACTTTCCTTGACTGCTCCTCCCCAGACTTCATCCTCATGGCCCAAGGCATCCACATGTACGCAGCCAGGGTCCAGTGGGGCCTGGTCATGTGCTTCCTGTCCTACTTTGGCACCTTCGCTGTGGAGTTCCGGCATTACCGTTACGAGATTGTTTGTTCTGAGTACCAAGAGAATTTCCTAAGCTTCTCAGAAAGCCTGTCTGAAGCTTCCGAATATCAAACTGACCAGGTGTAACCTATCAGTTTTTCCTTGCTGGTGAGCTGGGTGTGTCAGTGGGGGAGGGACCAGGAGGGCACACCCACTGGACTTGACACGTAACCTCACGACACATTTTACACACACACACACATTCGTGGCCACATTTGCCAAATGAGTTTTTTCAGGGCGAGTTATTTCTGTAACAAAAAAGCACAAGCCCTTACATGTCAAAACACACGCTGTTACACTGAAAATATATGCACGACAGAGCAAGAAGTTTGTGTATGATCACCAGTTTTTCCCCCTCTCCCAGTACTCCCTGCTCTTCATTCTCTTCACGTTTCACACATTGCGATCACCCTACCATAGGGTAGAGCAGGCCAAATGTATCATGGGAATAATGCCAAATCCTGAAGTCGCCTTCAGATCCCAAGGGCTTGGAACCAGCTCCTGAGAAAGTTCTGAACCTGGCACTAATACTCTTGAATGTATAGTGTGTCGTCTAATTGGATGGAAGCTGTACAGAGGTTGACCCTGGGTGACCTGTGGGAACACGTGTGTTCGAGGATAGAACTTCCCCACAAAAACTCCATCACTATCCAGTGGTTGGCTGTGAGGATTCAGTGAAAGAGGAACACACTATGAACTGTGAGAGTGAAGCCCACCGCCGTGATTCGGACTTTACTGTGACCAAGAAATATTTCCAAATGTGAACATGTGTGGTCTGCTCAGCATGGAACAGGATGGGGCAGTGAGGGTGTGCTTTCACTGTTGCTTCTAGAGTATGCTATCTATCATTTTTGTTTTCTAGTTCATGGCTTGCCTTCTTTTTTTAAAAATAACCACCAAGGATCTCTTGAGGCTTCATGGACAGAGATGTAGGCCAGAAGCAAGAGATGAGCTTGTTTTGTTTTCAAACATGATAAAAGAAAAAAGACAAAAAGGTGACCTGCAGGCTTAATGTGCTGCTTTTATGTTTGAAGCTAAGACTATGTTCACAGAAAAGCACAAAGAAACGCGTGGAGGTCATGAAGGAGCTCCTGCTGGCCATTTATTAAAGACAGGAGTTTCCCAGCATCTTGTCACAAGTCCAAGTCAGGGGAGAGTTTCTTCCTATGTGTCTATAGTCAAATTTTGTATTGGGGGTGGTGGTGAAGGGCTTTTCAGATTCGGAACTTGTAGAAGCCAATTAGAAGATTACCCCCCTCCCCCTACGAATTGGCACCGCTGTCCCCTAATGCCTAACATGTAGCCCCACCTGCTAAGAGTGTGGACCTCAAACTGTAGGCCTGGGCTCTTGAGGCTGTGCTTCATAGAAAAGAATTATAAATTCAACACGTGTTGGAGGTAGGCCACGTTGACAGACCCTCCCCGAGTGCACTTTGTTTTAAGAAATTCCCAAATTTACTTTATAGGGGCTTGGGATTTCGTGGAATATAATGTGAAAACATTTTTATTTTTAATTCAACCCAAACTCAGCTTCTTGAGGAGCGGGGGTGTCAATGACTTTTCATCTCTGTATTTATCTCCACCTCCTACACAGTGCCTGGCACATCATAGGTGCTCGCTCAACAAATGTCTGTTGAACAGAATTATTGGTCATTTAAGAGTAGGAAAAAGGAGTATCAGAGAAAGACTCAAAGACAAGTGAGAGAATGGAAGATGACTGTTCCAAGGAAAACGCGAATGGTAGGAGGAGTGAGAATACTTAAAATTTGTGAGGAAAATAATCAAGGAGAGAATATTCTATTATAAAGGTATCTTACTGTAAATAGTCCAAGGTGACATTTATCATTTTGGAATACTGCTTTTGGGGTTTTTTTGTTTTCATTTTTATATTTTAAACATTTTATCAGAGAACAAAGATTTATGAAGTTCTCTGTTACTCTATACAATCCAAATTAAACAGCTTTTGGTGATGCACTGTACACTTTCTTATGAGCATATCTTATATAGCACATTTTAGCAGAATCAAGCAATGACTGACATTATTTGTTGGGATCTGACCATTAAATAAAATTTTTATGCGGAACTGTGATTTGTCTCTTATACTCTCTCTAATATTGAAGCACGTGTAAACTCAATAAGACAGTATGTGGAAATGAACTTCCGTGTTATATTGGTAACATATTTTTAGGGTGTTTTCCTACAGCCACAACCAATTCTCTAATTTTCTGGACACCAACTGGATGTCCTATAATTCACTTTACTTCTGACACTAACTCCCAAGGTTACTGTTAGACCCCATGGTTTAAGAGCATTCACAAGACTGCCCTCACTTCAGATGCCAGCTGCTAGTATTGGGCCCCAGGTTACACAAACTCCCATCCAACTTGGTTATAAAGTTGGGTAGTTCCCACCACTCCCTTCACTTAAGTTTGATAATTTGCTAGAATGGCTCACAGAACTCAAGAAAACACTTAACTTCCATTGGGCCTGGGAGAGGGAAGGAGGGATTTGGGGGCATGCCAACCTCACAGCATTTCAATGTGCTCACCAACCCAAAAGCTCTCAGAATCTCACAGTTCAAGAGTTTATAGATCTGTGTTCCTGGAGGTTGGTCTGGAGGTCTAATCACTTGGGCTTTAAGTTTACCAGCTCCGTCCTAAGGCTATCTCGGAGCCCCACCCTAAGTGGCCTCACTCATTAGCATAAACTCAAGGGCTCATTATGAATAACAAAACACTCTCCTATCAGGAAATTCCAAGAGTCTTAGCCACTCTGCAGCAGGAACTGAGGACAAAGACCAAATATATTTTTGTATTATACCACACATATAAACAAAGATGAAGATTACCTCCTGGGAGTTAAGAGCCAAAGCTTTCTTCTAAGAAGCCAAGACCAGAGAGTCTGCATTTGGAATGAGCAGTCCTGGAGGATCTAACGGATGGCCTCCAAAGAACAAAGTTTGAAGTACATTAGACTACGTTTTTGGTAGTCTAGGGAAGCCTCCTAAAGGAAACACGTTCCCCTCCTGGTTAAAAGAGAAATATATATTTTTAATGTTAACATTTTAAAGGTTCAGTGGTTTTTTATTTAATGGAGAACTGACAGTGAGGTGAAGTTTTATTACCTGTGTTATTTATTGAATTTTCTTTGCTCCTGGTATGGGAAAGTAAAACCTTTATATCCTGAAATGAGTCATCTATTGGTTGTAATGGAGCTGGAACACCACTGTTTATATTATTTCTGTCCTTAGGCATTGTGTCAGGATAGGTTGGGTTTTGCCATCCCAAGATAAAGCTAATAAAATTAAAGTTCATTTCTCATACTAGAAGTCTATCCAGGGTTTGCAAGGCGCCCTGCTCATGGCTACGGCTCAGGCCCTGGCTGACAGAGGCTTCATTTCACACATGCTTCCATAACTGCTGACAGCCTAGAAAATGTGGCAGGCTGCTCACTGGTTCTTAAAGGTTTTGCTGGGAAATGGCACATCACTTGGCTCACATTTCCTTGGCCAGGGCAGATCACATGGCTGTATCTGAGAGTGGCCCTCTTGCCATCTGCCCTGAAGAGGAGAAATATTTGTCAACAGCCTAGTGCCCACCACAGGCTTCATGGTGAGTTTTTCAGGCTTCTTGGGTGATTGTCATTCTTTGAAGATTGGTAAAGAACCCGTCGTCATTCAGAAACTGAGGAAGGTAGCCATCTATGGAGTTGGGATAGGGCACCAAATTACAAGTATGAAGAGCCATCCAAGTAGTAATTAGAGAAATGGAATTCCACTCGGTCTAAGGACTCTTGGCCACATCTAAAATGTGTTATATTCCCCGAAGTAGTGGGAACCAACAGTTGGGGAGAAAGAGAATTCCACATGAAATGTTTATTTTCACAATCCTCAGCACCATGTGAGTTGAGATGTCCCATTAACACTCCTCAAAGCTGAGGTTCCAAGAAATAGCAAATATCCAAATTTGAAGTCCAAAAAAGGGAGTTAGGGAGAAAAGGCTAGATGAGTGGTTCCCAATGTGGGGCACATGCCCCACATGGGGGCAATTTGATATTTAAGGGGGACAATTCGAGAATGAGTTATTAATAGTGAATTTTTTGCATTTCGTATGGCTCTAGGGGCCTCATATACAGTAAATAAATATATATTGTGACATGCATTTCAGTTCTTTATTATGTGTTTTAAAACTTTAGTTGCTATTTTTTCATATCACTTTATATCATTATTTTTTCAACAATTTCTTAGTGGTTTCTTCCTCAGTACTTCAACTGCCTTTCATTCTTTTATTTCTCTCTTTCATGGACGCCATGTTCTTTGGAAACTTCATCTTTGGAAGGTTCTTTAGACCAAGTTAATGGCCTTTTAGGCTTCCTCCACGAGAATAGTTCAATTTTTGAATAATAAGAATTATATGTCACAGGGAGCGGGCGGGGGGCATCAGGATTTTAGAGATCCTTAGGTGGGGCATGGCCAAAAAAAAGTTGGGAACCACTGGGCTAGGTCCATCGCTAGAAAAGCAAAGATCCTTTTATCAGCATAGAACATGCTTTTATTTCTTCCATCTTTAAAAAAGAAAAAGTCCCTATTTTCTGCCTCCCATCACTCTCTCCTAATTCCCTCTTGACCACACTCCAAGCATGCTCTTGCTCCTACCACTTAACTGGAACTACTTTACTCAAGTTCTCCAAAGACCTTGAAATGTTATATGCAGTGGTTAGTTTTATCAAAACCTTATCCAGACCCATAAGCACTTCACAATTTGATCACCTTGCTTAAAACATTTTCTTCACTTGTCTTCCAGAGCGCTGTGCCCTCTTAATTTGCCTCCTCAACCTCTTTGGCTGGGCTGTCTCCCTGATATCCTAATATTGGAGTGCCTGAGACTCAATCCTCAGAGTCCTTCCTTCCTCTCTACACTCACTCTTTTGGGAGCCTCAATCAGACTTCTAGCTTTAAATCCTGCCGTATGCTGACCTCTCCACCTCTCAGACCTCTATCCTGAATGCCAGACCTGTACATTCAACTACCTTTGTACCATCCCCACTTGAAGGGCACCTCAAGTTTAACACATCCTGATCTTACACCTTTAAAATATTTTTTCCTGAGTCTTCCCATCTAAGTTAAGGACAACTCATCTCAGTTGCTCAGACGAAAACTTTGAAATAATCCTTCTCTCCTTTTTTTTAAATTTCTCACATATCCCACATTTGTTAGCAAATGTAGTTTGCTCTATCTTAAATTACACCTGCCTTAAGTAGGTTGCTCAGTTGGCTGAAGTATCATCCTGTGCACCAAAAAGGGGGCGGGTTTGATTCCTGGTCAGGGCACATACCTAAGTTACAGTTCAGGGGCGCATATGGGAGGCAACCAATTGATGTCTCTCTCTCACATCGCTATTTCTCTTTCTCCCTTCTTCCCTCTCTAAAATCAATAAAAGATTTAAAAAATAATACTAAAATTTGCTACCATCTTATCCCAGTCACTTCTCTCTTGGACTTTTATAATAGCCCACAAACACTGATCTGCTTCCATTCTTGGCTTCCTTCAGGCTGCCCTCAACACAGCAGTCAAAATGATCTTGTTTAAAGCTAAATTAGATCACCTCTCTGCTTAAAACCCTCCAATGGCTACTCTTATACCCAGATGAAAAACCCCAATCACTGAAACGCCCTGTAAGGCCCAACCAGACATGCCTCTCCACGGTTCATTCTCTGTTCCAGTCCCTCCGCTTCCTTGTGTTCCCCCGACAGGCATTCTCTAGCCCAGCTGTGGGCAAACTATGGCCCGCGGGCCGGATCCAGCCCGTTTGAAATGAATAAAACTAAAAAAAAAAAGACCGTATCCTTTTATGTAATGATGTTTACTTTGAATTTATATTAGTTCACACAAACACTCCATCCATGCTTTTGTTCCGGCTCCGGTCCGGTTTAAGAACCCATTGTGGCCCTCGAGTCAAAAAGTTTGCCCACCCCTGCTCTAGCCTCACGACCTTTGCACTTGCTGAAACCTCTGGCCTGGACCATCTTCCCCCAGGTATTTTAATTGCTCACCTTCTTCACATACTCAGATGTTACCTTCTCACTGAGACCTCCCTCACCTTAAAACGTAACCCCCTCAAAGCCCACCCTACCACTATGGCTCTTTCCAGCTTTATTTTGCTCTATAGTGTTTTAAAAACATGGTCCTGTGATTAGTAAAAATTCTAACATCCATAACAGTCTAACACATTTTACTTTCGTATCTCACTCTCTTCATCCCTAAAATGCACATTCCTTGAGGACAGGGGCTTTCGTTTAGCATGTCATGCAGTTGTTGGGGAGTGAGTTTCTCCTTTATCATCTGCTGGCTGCACCAATTGTGGAGTACAGGTCCTTTATCCTGCCTACTATGCCAACTTTTGGGACCGAGTCCCTCTGCCAGGGACTGGACCTCCTTGGACACTGCGTATTCAATGGAGAAGATATGAGAAGTCATGGGTATATAAGAGAGTCTTTACTGTGGTCCAAGTAGCCATTGCTAATAAGGAAGTCCACAGAGTAGTCCTTGCTAACACAGTAGTAAACACAGAGTAGCCCTTGCTAATACAATAGCAAACACAGGAGCCATTTCTAACAAAACAGACTGACCAAGAAGCCATGCACCAGCTGGTCAGTAATACATCTTTCCTATAATGCAGCCCCAAACATAGGAGCTATACAGGAGCCAGCCTCACCAAGTATCCTCACATAACAGCAGCTTCTCACTAGCTGGTCAGTAACATACTTTATACTAACTTAGACAAAAGAGGCTTCTTGCCAAATAATGACCTCAACCTTTGGGTTATAGACGGCATGTTTGTGCAGTGTTTAGCTTGCTGCATCCTTGCACCTGCCTCTGGCAACTTGGCCTTGAACATCCTGATTAGGATTCCCACACTCAAGAGTGGCCTTGAACACCTGGCATACACTGACTGATTAGGGTTCCCACGGTTAAATGTTTAATATTTAAAAAATAAATAAATAGCAAGTAGCTATCCCCCCTTTCTTTCCTTCTTTCTTTCAAGGTCTGGTCTCTTAAATATGAGCTGCTCAAAAAAGGCATTTCAGAAA